GCAAATGAAGAAATCCGGTTGCCATACAACCAACACGCAAAGTACATGCAGCGAGCACTTGTGCCGTCGATGGTAGAAAGGTTGAAATTGACATGAATGTTACAGTCCCCCAGGTACTTCCAATGATCAACACTTTCGTTGTGATTTCATGTCCAGATAACAATACAAAGAGAATCACTTTCACAACAAACAACGTCGTCTTCAACAATTCTCTTATCAATTTGTCGTTTGAAACAGGAACAATCAAACCAAATACATTTGGTTCAGTTGTTTCACAACAACTGAATTGCGTGTATGGGCAATTCGACTTGGAGAACGAATCAACAAAGGAGATATTCTGGGTTAAAACAGAAAATAAAAAACCGCACATCAAGCGAATTACACTTCCCCTCTTTGAAAACCGTTTACAAGAAACCCTTACAATACAAACAGACTCCATCCAAGCATTCGTGCTTGGCAATTCCAAGGCATCAATTCCAATAAACCCCAAAGAAAGCTTCAAAATCTTCATTGCGCCAAACTCATTCATTGAAACAAAGTTCAGAGGACGATTGGAGGAAATTGTTGAGTTTAGTGGTCAGTTTGTTCCAATCAAGATTTTGAGGGACGAAACACGAATTGTGTTTGAGAACACCGAGGTGATAAACAACACTGCGCTTCCTCTTGTATTCTCAACTGACAAAAAGAAAAAGAGGATCATCAGTGGGACATCTTCTGGACTTTCACAAGGACAAAAGCTTGCGATCGCTGGAAGTTGCTTTATTTCTGTTACAGGTTCGAGCTTTGTTACTCTTTTATCCCAGTTTTCATGTGTTGAAGATGAGGGTACTTTTATTCCAATCTGTCTCATTCCAGATGAAAAAAAGAAGTCCAACAAAATTGTGTATTTCGCCACCTTACACAACAAATCGCCATTCACCGTGTTTTTGAAATACGCCAACACGACACTAAAAATGGAACACGGCTTTTCGGATTATTTGAAGTTGCCGACTTATACAGAGACCGTCCCACAATTTGAGTTGGGTTTGAGCGAATCAGGCCCGTTTGTCACAATCACACAGTCGTGTTATTTACAATTTCCAACAGTGTGCAAATTTGAGTCGAGCCGGTATGTTCACGTCTCACTTGACCAAAACACCCTCACCATCACCGAGAGTCTTTTATCAGACTATGTCGTGTGCAACAACACAAGTGTTCCGCTTTTTTGGTGGTGGGTCTACCAAGACTCGTCCATTCCGATTGAAATTTCCCCATACTCCGCGTCATTTATTTACCAACCGTTCTGCCCGATTCAATCAACTCTCAATCTCTCGTCGTCATTTTTCTCTCAAAAATTTGTTGTTGTTTCTTTTGAAAAAAATATGAAAGAGGAGGACTCGTGTGACGTTTCGCTTTCACACTCATCCCGTCACGTCATTACAATTTCAAAGAAGAAAATAAAACCAATACACTCAGTTTCACTCTACATTCCCCAAATTATTGTGGATATTATTAATGATTATACCCCAATCTCTACTATCATTCTTGACAACTTGAGATTGACGATGGCAAAAGGATTGAACGTAAGTGCAAGTTTGTTGCAAGTTGAGTCATACCCACCTGCGACGTACACAGTCAACGTCATGGTACAAACCTTTTCCTTCACGTTGACTAAGGACACTCTCTTTGTCGCACTGCCAAGGGCTGTGGTTCAGGTCGATTCCTTGTTCATTAAGAAGCTTATCGACTTCTTGCCGCCACTCCCTAAACTCGACCTCAAAAACTTTAAACCACCAAAACTCTTCTTTGCCATCGACAAGTCGGAACTCGAAGTGTCTTTTCGATCGGTCGCAGGTGTTGTCCTTCCTCTCACTAAATACTCCGCGACTATATCGGCACTTTTGGTGTTTTTAAGTATCGATCACACGTGTCTTGACATACCAGAGTTCCTGGGATACGGCGAATGTTTATTGCCATTCTTCCAAGGCGTGTTTCTTGGGCAATTGCCGAAGATATTGGCATCGTCACCAATCATTGGAAACCCACAATTCGCGTTGAGTTCGTTAAATTCTGCGTTCTCGTCACTGGGCTCAAGGAATTTTGTGAATGCACTGAACAAAAGCACGACGGGAATTTTTGGTGTGTTGGCATCGATTGCAGATACGGTCAATGGGATGTCAGAGAACTACGATTATGATATAACACTCCAAGGGCCACGCCCAGAGTCGTTCAAAGAAGGAATGAAGTTGGGAGTGATCGGGTACCACAAGAAGAAAACTGGAAGTACTCTTGATAAATTACAACTTTCAATGTCATCTGTCACACAGTTTATTAAACTGGCAGCGGTTGGTGCGTTTGCGGAGTTCGAGGAAAAAGGTGCGAAACGGGTTGGGAAGTGGCGATCAGTCGAGGAATACGGGCCAATTAGAAAGTACCAAGACATCGGGTTTGAGGAATATTCAAGGAACGAGAAGTACGTCTGCCACATCAAAGGTAGCAACGACACTTGGATTGTTGTGCGAGACGTATCGAAGTTTCTTCTCTTGATGAACCAAAACATTACCGTCCAAATCAATGAAATTGGTAATGTTAGCTTTGGCGAAAAGTGTCTCTCGGTGACAATCGGAGATAAACGCTATTCTTTAGACCTCGACAAATTTGGGAAGAGAGAGAAGCGGTTCTGCGAAGAGATAACAAAGAACGAGGATTGTGTCATATAGTTACTTTAAATAATTCGACCTGCTATAATTATAGTTATTAGTATGTTTATTTTCTATATTATAGGTTAATAGAAAGTTAATACAAGCTGGTCCAAACGACTTGAATCAAATGCACAACGTAATTACTTTGTTTCGAGTTTGTTAATGACACCACCAAGGAGTTCGCCAGTGACTTCGTTAATGTCCTTTTTGACGACTTGGTTTGGTTCCATATAGTCGCAAATATTCTTCATGTCTTTTGCAAGACCCTGCGCGATTGTAAGAAATTCTTTTCTTCGCGTTCCCATTGTGCTTTGCCTGACTTTTTTGATGACAACCGTTGCGGCACGCGCTCTTTTTTCGTTTGTGCTGTTTAAATTTGCGGAAGCTCTTCCTTCGAAAGAACTAAACAATGCGGCAGTTGCGTTATTTTTCTCATCCTCGTCGATGACGGGGTCGTCGACTATTTTTTGGAAATTGTCGTAGATCGAGTCCAAGTCGTCTTTCTGTTTGACGTCGATAGAAGTAGCGAATTG